GGATTTTGACACTTCCTGTCTTCAGGGCGCTTGGATTTTTTGCAGCCTCCTCTTTGTGTTTGCTTTTTCTTGTGCAAGGTGGAATTGGCCGGGCAGGCAAGCAGCAGGCACCGAGCTGGTGCTGATGACAGCCTGCCAGGGCGTCCCGGGCTCCTCCAGGATGCTGACAACAGACAAGCCATTATCACCCCTCCCATGCCTAGCAAGGGCCTTGCCAGGGGTGATTGCCATCCCAGCCCTCAGCACAGCTTTCCCTGCGAAGCACACACGGCTTTCAGGGCTGCGTTTGGCTGTGTGGGAACCAGCAACTGCTCCTTTTGCCACCTGACCTGCTCTGAGGCTGCTTCCAGCTGCTCTGTCCCGACTTTCTGCTCCCCTTAGCATTACCTAGCCCCAGAATTATGCCCTTCCCTGCTTTGCTGCACTTCTGCCACTATTGCCAAGGGCTGCAGGTGACCCAGCCAGGACAGCCTGGCACTCTGGCCAGGTGTGTCCTCCCTGGGAGCAGTGTGCCAGTTTACTTGGCTCTGCTCTGCAGCTCCCTCCCCTCGCATCCCAAAACAAAAGGCAGGTGCTGCTGCCGATGCTGCAGGTGGTGATTTGTGGGAGTCCAGGGCTTCCCTCTGGCTGCCCTGGCAGGTCTGGGACCCTGGCAGGGGTCAGGAACCCCCCTGGACAGAGCCCCCAGAGACACTGGCTGTGATCTCTGTCCATGGAAAAGAGTTTTCAATCTTACAGGATGAATTACAAGCTCTGAGTCTTTGATATAAGTAATAATTAAGTGTGGCACGGGCGCAAAAGTAAAATTTTATGTTTCTAGATTAGGGGTTCAGAGGGGACAAGATGGAGGAATTGGGTGTGTCTTGTCCTTTTTCTCCTTCTTCATGCCCTCCATGTTTCACTGTGGTGTTGGCATTTTTCTGTTGGTTCAGGCTGGGGACACACTGTCCAACGTAGGTGACAGATATTGGCACGTTATTGTAAATCCAGCACAGGTAGTTTGTGGTATTTAATGTTTGTAACATCCTACTGAGGGCAGAGCCCCACACGCTGCCCTGCAGGACAGAGCTGCGGCAGGGCAGCAGAACATGTTAGCGATAAACAGAATAAACAACCTTGAAACCAGCACAGACGAATTATGGCTTCTGCTTTGGCAGCGGGGCTGACAGACAGAGACTTTCTACAATCTCAGAATCATCAATACCCACAGATTCCGACAGTGATTCAGCCCCTGCCCTGCCAGAGCCTCCCTGGAGACCAGCACCTGGATCCTGCAAGTGAAACTCGAGCCTGCAGCACACAGCTCTGCTCCTGGCAATGGCCATGGTCATTGCTTCGTGATCAGCTTGGGAGGAGGTGGGGAAAAGGGAAAAAAAGGGGCATTGAGGTGGACAGAAATCTCAAAAGGTCCATCCACAGCAAAACCACGGAGCTGCAGCCAGCACAGGATCATCTCCTTCAAAAACCTCCTAAGGCAGTGCTGCAATTTGCATCTGGATGCATTTCATTCCCTATCAATGTTCATTAGCAGCTGCCCAGCACTAAGCTGCCTGCTTGGGAATAATTAGTCCCTTTCTCTGAAGGTCATGGCAGTGCCAGCATCACAACTTCCCTTTCTTTGAACGTGCAGACAGTTGGATGCTGCAAACATCCTTCCAAGTGCTGCTGGGACAGGTACCAGGCACACAGGGGCAGTGGGGCAGCACGGACAGCCAGCTTGCTGCTGCTGGGGTTCATTTTTACAGCAAATATCAAAGTTGCACAACAACTTTGCTGCTTGAGCTGGAGACAGCAAAGGTGTGGAACAGAGGGGGAAGAAGGGAATAAACCTGAGAGGCAGTGTTCTGTTTGAGTTTTTGCTCCTACTGTAAGCTCAGGGCTCTTAATTCAGTCATTCACAGAACAGCAGCTCCAGAACAGGGTTTTAGGTGGCTGGGTCACCATAACTCTTCCCTGCCCTCGAGCCCATGGGCTTGAGCACTGAAAAGTAATTTTCAGTGACTCATGCATCAGTGTTAGCCAGCCAAGGGAGCCCCAGGGGCTGCAGCAGCTTCGAGGATGCTCTTCAGAGAACAGCCTGTGCAAATGGGGGCATGGGAGCTGCTGCCTCACAGCACGCTGGCCTCCTGCTGGGGCTTGTGGCCAGCGTGGGGAGGCTGCTGCTCAGCCTCCCACGGGACTGGAATCTCCACTTCCAGCTGTGGGTCCACCACTTTCCACCCGTGGGCACAGAGCTCCGGAGCTGCAGCTGCCCCAGGAGTGCCCTGAGCTGCCTGGTGGCTGTGCCTGTGGTCAGGAGGCACAGGGAGCTGGCAGGGTGTGAGCAGCTCCTTTCAGGCCTGGCCACCCTGCACAGCTCAGGCAGCTCCCACCTCATGTGCCCGGGGAGCCTCTGGTCCCAGGACAGAGCAGACACCTCAGAGGACGTGAGCTTTGCCACCTCTGCAGGACGTGAGCTTTGCCACTCTGCCAGGTGGCTCTGGCTGCCCTTGAGAGTTCCTGTGCTGCAAGGTCTCCTCACTGACTTGTGCCCATCCCTTCTGGCTCCTCCTGCCCTGCCTGCTGTGGGTATTCCCTGTCTCCCAGAGGGCATCCTGCAGTGCAGGATGAGAGATTCTGGCTGACAAGGGCCGTAGCAATGTCACCTTGGGCAGATCTCTGACTTCATCAGGGCACTCTGCTTTGTTCTCCATTAATTTCAAGCAAATTATCTTCAGGACATGGTACAAGGTGCATTAATCCTCCTTCAGGTCAGGGTGCTGCTTCCATGGCCAAACCCAGCCTGATTTTATCGAGAAGAATTCCCAGCACAGACAAAAGCCAGTGTCCAGCTCTGGAGCCCAGCACAGGGAGGAGCAGAGGGATGTCCAGAGGGAGTCCAGGATGAGCAGAGGGATGGAGCAGCTCTGCTGGGAGAAAGGCTGGGAGAGCTGGGAATGTTCAGCCTGGAGAAGAGAAGCTTTGGGGTGACCAAATTGTGGCTTCTAGTACCCAAAAGGAGCCTGCAAGGAACATGGAAAGACCATTTACAAGGGCCTGGAGTGACTGGACAGGGAGAAAAGGCTGGGAGAGAGTGGGTTTAGAATAAATATTAGGTGGGTTTAGAATAAATATTAGGTGGAAAGAATTTCCTATTAGGGTGGTGAGGCTCTGGCACAGGCTGCCCAGGAGGTTGTGAATGCTCCATCCCTGGAAGTGCCCAAGGCCAGGTTGGACAGGGCTTAGAGAAACCTGGGATAGTGGAAAGTGTCCCTGCCTATGACAGGGGGTGGAACAAGATGGTTTTTAAGGTCCCTTCCCACCCAAACCTTTCTATGGTTGTATGAATATGGCCTTTGTGCAAATATGACACAGCAAGTCTTTGTTACACTGGAGTAACCTGCTTTTTAATACTCTAAATAGGGGAATGAAGTGTAACCTGGAGCCATTTTAAGCTCCCAGGCACACAGATAGCTGTTTTACTTGATTGAATCCACGCAGAGACAGTTTCTTATTAAATAGACAAGAGGTACTCTATCTATTAAAACCTTGCATGAAGGTGAAGCATGTTTTGGTGTCTCTGCAGAAGGCTGCATGCTCTGTTGAGGCAGGGGCTGGCTGTATTTTGTGTTTTATGCAGCACCTAGGAAGGCTGGAGTATAAAATCCAGCAGCTGCACTCCCTGGTGCAGGATGCCAGTGCACGCACAGCATCGTGGATCAGTGCAGCTGTGGGTCACTGTGGGATGACTTGATGGGGAGAGACTTGCATAGGAAATGAGAGAAAATAATCAGGCATTGAGTGCTGGCTGCTCCTTCCAGCCCTGCTCTGACCCCAGGGCACTGCTGGCAGCTGAAGCTCTGATGGCTCTTTGGGAGCTCTGATCCAGCTCTGGAGCTGTCCAGGCGTTCTGGGCTGGTTTATGTTTGCTTTATTCAGGTGCTCTGATGGGTACCAAGGACATCCACGATCCACAGGATGCTCTGGGCTGAGCAGCTCTTCCCTATCCACCTGCAGCTCCCTTTTCTGTGCACGGGGTCAGGTCTCCAGCACTGCATCCTGTGTTCCCCTGTGGAGCATCATCATCCCTAAGGTGTCTGCTGAACAATTTTGAATTGATCACTGACTAAAACTCCCATTGTTGGTGCAGTGCTGGCAGATGCCCTGCATTCAGCTGATCTGGCCCTCAAGAAAAACACTGAGGCGTGGAGTGAGTCCAGAGGAGGGCAATGGAGCTGGTGAAGGGTCTGTGTTTCTGTGCTACAGCTGGACATTTCTTGTTCTTCATGCCCAGTGGCAGCTGTGCAGATCTTCCTGTGCCCTCTTAGGCTGGAAACAACTTACTCCTCACTCCCCAGCCCTCCTGCACGTCCCAGGCTTTCCTTTGTGGCAGCTCCCCAGCTCAGGCAGTCAGGATCACAGCTCCAGGATGGGTTAGAGTATTGTAGGGAAGTGCTGAGGGTGCTGGGCTGGCAGGAATTTTCATCAATTCATGAATGGCTTTTAAAGAAAGGCTATTTCATGTGGTTCCTTACATAAGAACCAGTGGAATAGCATAGAACATCTAAATCCTCTCAATTCTATGTGCCACTGAGCTCCACTGAGAAAAACCCCACAGTCTCTCATGCAACCTTCTCCCAGCCAGCTTTCCATGTTCACTCATTCCTTCTATTTCCCCTTCTTCTGAGAACTTGCTTTGTCCCTGTAGGGTTGTGTTTGTGTTCTGGGTCTTTGTTGTAATCTCAACCAGCTTCTGGTTCTCAAGACAGACTCTCTACAGTAAAGGCAAGACGAGGCTCTCAGACCTGTGCTCTGTTCTGTACACACTTAAATAGGCCCAAAATTTTACTGCAAACTCATTCAACTTATTTTGCTTGTCCCCTGTCCCCCCCATCCTGACCTCAGTGTCTCTTGGGTCCTTGCTGTCCCCAGGTCCTTCCTTCACAAGAAAACTCACTGCAGCAACAAATTCCTTCCTACAGATTTAAACACCACTTGGCCATGACCAACTCATGGCAGCATTGACTTAGAAAGATTTATTTAAATTCACTGAAGGGTGAAGGCAGTGCCCACCAATCTGATAGCAAGGTTTGATCTTCATGGATGTGAGGTCTGTGATTTAATAGGTTTTCCAGGCACCGTGGTACAACAGTTCTTCAAATGCAGCAGGACTGGGGAACTGACCTCTCCTCTGTGCCTCTGAATGCTTCCCTCAGTTCCTATGCTGCTAATACAGAGCCTGAATATTTCACCATCATTGGAAGATAGTTTAATCCTCTTTGTAACTTGGCAGAGCAGATTAGAGTTTCTTCTATATTAAATTAGAGGCTTCTCTAAAGCATCCTGCAAAGAGCTCATTTCATTAGCATGCTGTTGATTTATTATTTATAATGACTGTTTACAAAACAGCCTGTGAAGATGACGAGGCCCCAGTCAGGTGACTGCATATTTCTACAGGCAGATCCAGCCCTCCAGAGCAACCTGCATGCCTGGGCTCTGCAAAAAAAAAAAAAAAAAAAAAAGCTGCTGATTAGGAGTGATTTGCAAGGAGAGTTTAAACACGCTAATCCAGCTCTGGTTGGAGGAATGTTGATGTGATGAAACTCACTGGGGACCTTAGCTGGGGGTTTTAGTGGTGTTTGCCATGGGCTGCCCACGTCCACTTCTTTCTCAGGAACATGGAAAACCAGAATGTGTTGGGTTGGGTTGGAAGGATCTTAAAGCTCCTTCCATTCCAGCCCCTGCCATGGGCAGGTACACCTTCCACTATCCCAGGTTTCTCCAAGCCCCATCCAGCCTGGCCTTGGACACTTCCAGGGATGGGGCAGCCACAGCTTCTCTGGGCAGCCTCTGCCAGGGCCTCCTCACCCTCCCAAGGAAGAATTTCTTCCTAGTGACTTTGGTCAGGCAGGAATTGGTGCAGTCCCATATTGCCCCTGGCTGGTCTCTTCCTCTGAGCACCATCCATTCAGTCCCAGGAGTTGTGTCACCAGACCCTCCCCAGAGCTTGTGACATTTTAGCATCTTCAGCCCCAACTGGAGTCATTGAGTCCCCTGGGGCTTGAAAGGAGCCTGGGGCAGTGTTGTCCCTTCACTCCCATCCTGTGCTGGAGGGGTCTCTCCAATCCCACTTTTTCCACAATTTGCATATGTTGAGCTGATTAGCAAAAGCCTGATGAGTGCTGGGCTTGATTCTCATGGTTTGAGTGGTTCCTTTGCCCTGCACAGCAGCGGGAGGTGAGAGGTGAGTGCTGCACAGGGTGAGCATCCCTTCCTCCAGCTTCAGCCACAGAGCCAGCGGCCAGGGCACTGCTTCCTGAGCCTGCAGCTCCTGCAGACAGGGCTGGGGATGTCTGCCTGTGCCGAACCCAGCAAAGGCACGAGATGGATTGTTCTGCTGCCTGAGCTCTGCTGCAGTGACTCAGCCTTCGAGCTCCAGGCAGAAACGCCAGGATCAGGGGTTTGGCTGATGGTGCAGCCATCAACATTCCTTTTCTCCAAAGGAATCAGGCTGGGTTGGGCTCCTCTTTTGGGAGCAACTCTGTCCTCTCTTTGTTCTGCACCTCTGCTAATTTCTGTTTCAGAGAGTCACTCAAGAAGTCACACCCAGATAGCATCCCTTGGCCCTCAGGAGGAAAACACCCTTCCCCATCCTGCACACAAAGGCAGAAATCTGACAGAGAGAAGCCAGAGATCTCTCCTGGAGGCTGGGCTTTCAACACTCATCCTGGAGGCAGAAGGTCCTAGCCCCTCCAGGAGGACTGTGCAATCTCTGGAGGACTCATAAAACCACATCAGCTGCTAAGTGGAGGTAAAATAAGAAGTTGTGGCTGCTGCTAAGTCACAAATATTCCATGCAGTACTGAGAAAATGCCTCCAAATAATTATGGTTTATGGTTTGTTGTTGATTTTGTCAGGGTTTTTTGTTGTTTCTTTCTTTTTTTTTTTTTAGAGAACATAGTTTTCCAATCAGGTGATAAAGGAACGGGACCAACACTGCTTTAGCACAACTTTGTCCTCTGCATAATTTTTCCTCCAGAGGAAGCACGAAGGGAAATCTTCAGACTGCATCCAGGTCACAGCTCAAGAAGGAGGTGGAGCAGCAGGAGTAGGGGCAGAGGAGGCCATGGAGCTGCTCCCAGGGTTGGAGCCCTTCTGCTCTGGACCAGGCTGGGAGAGCTGGGGGTGTTCACCTGGAGAAGAGGAGGCTCCAAGGAGACCTGAGAGCCCCTTCCAGTGCTCTGAGATCAGAGGGATCACTGTCCCTGCCACCTGCACCTCTTTGTCCTGTGCACTCTTGGGGCAGCTTGTCAAATAATTCCATGCAGCTGGAGAAAGTTCCAGCTCATTTAATCAACCTGCCTGCTGAAATCCCAGGTAGTTCCCAAAAAAGCAGCTGAATCCAGTCCTTTTTCCTGAAATTGATGTCTGAATTCATCTCATTGGATGTATCTGCTCTGCTCCATCTTGGCCCTCAAGTCCCTGTCTCTGTGTTGGGCTAGAAGACAATCTCTGCTGCTTCCAAACACACCTCCAGAGCTGTCTGAATCTCCTGGATCAGCACATCCTTGCTTTGCTCTCTTCTGAAATGAGGGTCTTAGCATATTCAGTGGCATGTAACTGAGACATAAAGCACTTGGATGGGAGATCAGGGGCAGCACTTTCTGCACAGGTACCTATGGCTCCGTGAGCTTCAGACAGAACAGGGACTTGGGGCTTTTTGTGTCAGATAGATTCACATTCCCAAGCCAACAACCCCTCTCCTGCACTGAGAGGCTTCATTTGATTTTCACACGGCCCTGGGGAAGGCACTGGGCTCTCCCATTCCTGCCTTTCAGATGTGCTAGGTCACACTTGGGTCAGCTGTCCCACGGCCACGGCACCATCACGGTAACGCCGCAATCCCGCTGTGACACGGCCGTGGGACATCACCTGCCCTGGCACTGCTGGCACCTCTCGTGTCCGCCTCAGCATGGGCAGAGGCATCAGCAGCTAGGATGTACAGTTCTGGAGTTTTGCCTCCTCCTTTTGAGTCACAAATTGCTTGTGAGCAGGTCCAGGCCTCTTTGCCCTCATCCTTTCAAAGTTTTTGCTCCATCCATCCAACCATCCCTTTGTATTTCCTCATGTACAGTGTCCCCTCTTTTCTGGCCCCTGCGGGGGTTGTGGGGGAAAGCACCACCACTCAAACACCCTGTATCTGCATCTGATAAATTCTCATGAGGTCACATCTGCTCTGTCTTGCCCTGCTGGTCTGACAGGAGCCCAGATTTGCTTTTAGGTATCAACCTTGTCACTCTGAGTTAGTCAGGAATGTTCACTATCATCAACACAGGGTGACGTAGCCCTGTTCTTCCTGAAGATATTCTCCCTTACATTAACTGGTACATTTTTACAGGAGGGAAATCCCAAACTGCACAAACATACAAAAAGTTCTTTTGTGTCTCTTTTTATTTGTTGTTGATGCTACTGTTGTTTTTCCAGACCTGAAGGATGCATCAGAATGGGAGGAAATGACAGCACTGAATGGTAATAACTGGATTAAGAGATTCAGTAGGAGACTCTCACCTGTGCTGTTTATAATGCAGATTAACTATTTAATCCATCTGCATCTCCAGCTTCAATTCTTTATTCCCTTTGTCTTGCAATGATGTCCTCCCCCACCCTGCGGTCCCTCGCTGCTCTGTGGCCTCGGAGCTGGGTCCCTCCCGTGCCCTCCTCAGGGCTGTGACTTTGGGCCAGCCCAGAGCTGGTTCTGCTCAGTTAGCCCGTGGAAGCCCCGAAGTGAGTGAGGGCTGTGTGCTGCTGCTGCCTGGCCAATGAGCCCTGCCATGGCTCGGTCTCCAGGAACCGCTGGAATGACCGCAGCGGCGGGATGATTAATCAGCAAATGGGAAAGAAAATGCTTAGAATGAAGCACTTGAATTCCTGACTTTACTGGGGGGTGAAAACTCACAAACAAGGTCATGGAAAAGAAAACCATTGAGGAATTGAGGATGACTAAATACAAGGACTTTCACTCTGGGTCAGGAAGTCTCTAAAGCACAAACTATTGCAGGCAGGAAGGATATCATGGGGAAGTGTTTGGCCATGATCACACTGTCTTATGTACTGGTCAGTGCTGGGGACAAGGGCTGAGCCTTTGGACCACTATGTCACACCACAGCCATGACATCATTTACCAAATTTTGATGGTGGAGACAGAGAAAGGCCCTTGCCACGTACCATGAGACAGGGAGTGAAACACCAGGCTTGGTGTGTGTGTCACCTACCCCTCCCTCTGCTTGCACTGGCCATGGCCTGTGGGAGCTACACCTGTGCACCTGGAGAAGAAAACAGAAACATCTCCAAACCTGGACTCCTCCTTTCTGCTCAGCCACAGTGCAAAGGCAGGGCCCAGCCTGTCATAGTTGAGACAGAGACAATACAAAGAAACACTCCATTTTCAGAAGGCTTCAGACCTGTTTTTACTATAACATGCATGCTTTTATACATTCTTACAAATTTCATAAGTTTACACTTTACTCTTTGGTCACAAGAGACAAAGTGCTCATTGGAACAGGCAGCTGCAGGTTTCTCTTATTTATCCTTCTTTCTTTCTTGGTTTCTATGTCAACGACCTTGGTAGAAAATTCTTTCAGGGGTAAACATGGATCTTCTTATCAAACATGGATCCTCTTATCAAACTTCTCTCTGGCTCACAGAACTTGCTGTAAAACCTCTTCTACACCAGCCCAAACTACTCTGTCTTCTGTGCAGAGTCTTATCCAGTATTTAAAATTCCTCTGCCAGCTTTCTGTGGGACCAAGCAGGACACCCTGAGTGCCAGACTCAACCTGTGAACATAAAGTGCAGTGAGGTTGGCCTAGAGCCCAAGGGTGTGGTGGGTTTCACTCTCTGCACTGACAGTGCAGGCTTTGCATCCTCTTCCCTCTGGAATTTTTCACATTCCCTTTTTTTTATCGGTGTTACCGAATCCACATAGATGATATGAATGTGAATGTATGTTTGTTAAAAAACCCAAATACATTCCTGAGATGCAAAGACTGTTTTCAGTTCATGGGTTTTAAAGGGGCATCTGCCACAAAGGGTTGAGGGTGGTTAATACAGCACATTCCAGCTGCTGGCTGAGAGGAATAAGCAGCATTGCTGATAAGCTCATTTGATAAAGCCTTTGCTGGGCACTGCAGATGCAGGCTAAGTCCAGCCTTTAATACTGTCCCAGTCCCACAGGCAGCACTCTCAGACAGGGCTGCCAGGAAATATTGTAACCCCGTCCACCTCTCCTGCAGCTTTCAGTGAGTCCTGACAAGTCCCCACCGTGTGGTCTCACATGTCACAGCTGTCACTGGCCTGGCCATAGATCACCAGCTGATACCCAAGCAAATGCAAGTTGGCACCAAGGTTTCACAGGCAGCACAGACCCTTTCTGCAGCTCTGCGAGGTTATGGTGTCCTGTAAGGTTGAAGCAATTATTAAATCCCCTATAATCGTTCCAGCTGGTCACTTGACCACAGAATATCTTTTCTGTTGGAAGCTGCTGATGTTGCCCCATGAGATTCAATGCTGGGGCTGGGTAATAACAGCCTTCACCTGCATGAGCTTGTCCCATCACAAGAAATAATGGATGGGAAGGAACTGTTCCAGGAGAGGAAAACAGGGTGTGATTGTGGCCTCATCTGTCTGCTAGAAAAGGCACAGGATTGCTCTGTCCCCTGGTCCTCACACTAGAGAGAGCTGGGTCCCTGTGGAATCACACTGGGCTCGGGTGCTGCTGATTGCCAGGCTACACTAACCTAACTCACAGCTGATGTCTCACCAGCTCTCATGGCATCCTGTCAGTTGAGGAGTTGGGAAGGGAGGATCTGGGCTCAGGGTGTTTTCAGGACATGCAAGACATGTGCCACTTGAAATGTGGCTCATCTCCCTTCTGAGCCTGAGCAGAGATGAGTTGAAATCTGGGATCTGCACTGGGCTGGATCCCAGAGCCCAGAGATTTGAAAGCCAAGGCTCATGTGCTGCACTGGAGAGCGAGTGGTTGTTAAAGTTACACACTTCCAGGGTCACCCCTGTGCTCATGGAGATGGCCTGAAACCAAGGCAAGGAGCTCCTAGTGACTTCTCCATTTAACACCAGCTAAAGCACAGTTTTCCAGTCTACCCTGGGTTGAAGGATCCTGAAGAAAAAAAAAATTGCTTTTGGGTTCTGCATGACTTGAATTCAGCAGGAATAGTTGAATGTCTGGTGTTGCACATGGACACCAGGCTGTGCCTGAAGGAGCACAGGGGCATTCCCCAGCCCTTCCATCGTGGTCCCTGCACCATCAGCACTTTCCTCCACTGCTGACCCGGAGGTGGCACAACCTCGGGGCTCCCCTAAATGTGCTGCTGATCCAGAAGGCATTAAACCGTTATCTCTGTGTCTCACTCCATCAACATTTTTTCAGTCTGTATTAAAAATCCTACTATGGTTTTTTAGCACAAAAGGGGAAAGAAGAGAACCTTCTATGTTCAGGACATTTGGGACATCACTAGAATTTCATCCATCTGTGATTGGCCCTCAGACCGTCATACTCAATTTATTTCTCAGCCAAAGTTTTTCAGCCATCTGCTCAAGTGGAACAGCTTCCAGCATTTATTCCCAATAGTGCTCCTCTGAGGGAGCACATGGATTTTCTCCAGTACGACAGCATCACTATTTTCCAAAAAAACCCTCAGCCCAACCCCGCAGTGACTGGCGGGGAGCCCTCCCTGCTCTGCACCCCGACCTTGAATTTTAAGCAATTGATCAAGAAAACACAGAACAGTTTCTGTTCCACTCAGGACCACCGTGACTGATGTTTTTTAAAGGGCTCCTCTGCAGAGATGTTAATGAGGTCGCCTTGGATACTCAGCTTAAAACGGTGTCGCTTCAGCTTCTTTTATGTCAGCAATCAACAACAACAACAACAAATACACAACAACCCATCAGTGGATCGGCTTGAGGAGGGGTGGGGGACTCCTGGCAGGTGACTGGAGCAGATAGTGATTCACAGTCCACCTGCTGCCAGCAGTTTGGTGCTGAGCCTCTCTGATTGTCTACTGGAGCATCAACACAATGATCTCCATAATTATTATGTCCTTAAATTGAAAAAAAAAAAAAATATTAGAAAAGCCTGATTTTTCCAGCCATCCTATTGAAAGTGCCCCAGGAAAGGACTTCAGATTGGGAGTAATAAGAGGTTCAGGGACAGTCAGGGAAATAAAAAGCACTTTCTCTGTGTGAGCAGAGGAGAGGCTGTGTGTTCTTAGGGAATTGTTTCCTGGGCTGAGACCCACTTGCATTACTCCTGTTTAATGAGTTACCATCCATCAGCTGAGCTGCAAGAGTGGCCCATGTCCAGCTTTAAAAGCAGGGGGAAAAACACCTGAGGCAGGGACACCGGGCAGGTGCGTTCGATGGTTTGATGATGTACATAACACAGTGCTCACCATGACTCCAAACAAGTTGCTTGGCTTCTCTGAACCTCAGTTTCCTGCCTGGTGAGCAAGGGTAAATTCAGTGGCACATCTCACAGGCTTCACTGGAGTTCTAAAGGAAAATGTGGAACCACAGATGGAAAGGTATGAGCAAGTTCAAAGGAGTGGTTTTGGCAAACACACCTTTACATATGAAGTGAGACCGGACTGATTCCTCAATTAGCAGATTAATCACTCTAGAAATGTTTATTATTACTTTATTATATGTTTACTACTCTACTAATCCAGTTTATAGGAATAAGGAGGACCTACTTCTCTAACCCTCACCAGCAATGCCCAAACATGATGACAGAGAGCATCCTCACACCCCAAGTAGAATGGCATCATGGTGTGAGCACCCCTTTCCTTTGAGGAACTGCAGGTGAGCCTGGCACTCAAAGCCCAGATTTAGGCCCTAGAACATAGAACCCAGCCTGGCTCTGCACCTCCAGGAGTTCTGTCTTTTCTATCCCTTCCTTCAGGGAACTGCAGAAATCAGTTTGATCTTCCTCCTATTCTCCTCCAGGATGAACAAACCTGGCTGGTTTTGCCTCTCCTTGTACCTCAACCATCCACCAGTGGCCTCTGCTGGACCTGCTTCAATCTGTCAATGCTGATTTTGTCCTAGGAAGCCCCAAACAGGACCCAGTGTTTCCAAAACAATCTCAGAAGGGCCAAACCGAGGGGATTCTCACTCCCTTGGTGTGCTGCCTGCCTCCTTGCTCACAGAGCTGAGGGTGTAGCTCACCTCTGCAATGATCCCTGTTCAATTCCTGAGTCACCCACAACCCCACCTCCCTTCCTATCAAGCTGCTTCCCAGCCCAGCTGTCCCCTGGCCTGTCCTGCTCCCTTGTGAGGTTATTCCATTAGGACTGTGCACTTGTCTGCCCATTTCTCCACTCCCTCTGAACAGCAGCTGCTGCCTCTTGGGTGTCAAGTGCTTCCCTCCCCGCTGCTTCCTTTGGTGGCTTCCGAAAACTTCCTGAGATTGTGCCCAATTATCCAGGCCATCAGTACCAGCCCCCCAGGATCTCAACAGCAACGAGTTGCCAAGTGGGCTCTGTACTTCTGATCACCACCCTGTGAGTGCAACAGTCCAACCTATCCTCCAGCTTCCTTCTTTCCTATTTACTGGGCCCATATCTCCCCAGCCTGGCTCTAGGGAGAGTGAGCATTGAAAGCTTTACTACAGCTAAGGGAAACAACTCAATATTCCCTTATCACCCCTGCTTTCTTGCCTTTCCAGGTAGTCAGGTCCATCAGGTGTGATGAGACTTTTGTTTTGCTGGGTTCAAACCAACCCACCCCGATAGACATTCTCCTACCCAAATCAACAGCTTTACAATTGCACCAGTATTACTTCTGTGAAAGAGTCACAGAATCACAGAATTACAATATCCTTCAGGTTGGAAAAGGCCTCTGAGATTACTGAGTCCAGCCTGTGGCTGAAAACCATTTTGTCAGCTAGACCAGTGTGCAATCCTTTCTTGAACACTCCCAGGGATGGTGACAACCCAATGCTTGACAAATCTTTCTCTGAAGAAATTCCTCCTGGTGCCCAGCTTAACCTCCCAGGCACAGCTTGAGGCTACATTTCATCTACAGGTGGTGTTGATCCTGCAGTAGGCATGGTCTGTGCATACAGTCAGAGCTGCTCCTTCATCCAGAGACTCTAGAGCTCCTTGTCCAAATAGATGGGGTGGCAGGAAGACAAAGACACGTGAGACCATGGGGGATCATTAGTCTGAAGTTGGATGTTACAGTGGTTTAGTTAAACTGTACTTACTCACAATGGGAAAAAAAAAAAAAAAAAAAAAAAAAAAAAAAAAAAAAAAAAAGCTGAGTTTCTTCTCACTTCTTGTGGACATGAGGTAAGCCAGGATGAGTGGAGGCTACTTGAATTCTGAACAGGAATGTCCACATAGACAGTTTAATGAAGTTTAGCTAATCCAATTTGCAAAGGTTAATTCAGATTCATTTTCCTGGTTGTCTCTGTGTAGATAAGGCCAAGGTCACTTCCCCAAGGTGGCTGGCTGAGCCAGGCACAAGATCCACACTTTCTTTCACCATTACTTTCCCAGGCTGGTTTGTCCTGATCCATGTACCCCCTGCACAGAGGAACTCAGTTTCTCACATTTTCCTCCATCAGCATCACTGATCCTTGCTGATGAAGATCACTGCAGACCCTTTTCCTGGGTGAAATGGAGCAGGGTGTTCCTGGAGCCACACTGCAGCCTGGGGGCAAATCACAGCACACAAACAGGAATTGGTGATGCTAAAATCCCCCCCAGGAATCCAGAGCAGCCCCAGCATCTTGCTGGTAGAGGTGAGCACTTCCAAGCACTCCAGCTGGCTGACAGTGCAGATCTACTAAATCATCCTGAGGCTGTTTCTTTCTGACTCTTCTGGGCTCTCACGTACGTAAGTGCAGTTACCCAGAATCTCCAGCAAAAGCAAGAGAGGCAGTTTGGGAAATGCAGCTCCCCTTTGCAGCCCTGCCAGGTGCAGGCTGTGATGGGACCTGATGTGTGGGGACATCTGTCCCACAGCTCTTCCAGCAGGGTTCTCACCTCTGCTTCTCAGCAGCTGGTGCTGGCCCCTGCAATGCCCCAACTGCTCGTTAGGGATTGAGATCCAAAGATATTTTAGAGTATTTAAAAAGGCATATATAATCTAACCAAAACTGAGGAGCTGCCTTAGCCTTAACTGAAAACTTTCCCAAAGGAGTTTCAATCCTAGAACAAGGAGCTTACATCTCCTAGTGCATGATGAATGGGTGCAGGAGCTATTCTGAGCAGCAGGCAATAGTGAATGGTTACATTTCCTTGGCCAAGATGAGGAAGCTTTAAGTAACTAATTAAAAAAAAAAATCAATAGAAAGTCTTTTCCCACGATCTTTTGCCATGAGTCCTTGGCAATAATTTCAGTGCTCACTTCAAAGAATTGAGGTCTCTTTTCTGGGCCTCTTTCTACCATGGCAAAGGAGTTTACAAAGAGAAGTTGCTCGAGCCCAGTAGCTGGCTGTTAGCTTGCTGTTCTGTTTTAGGGAGGACTTGCAGTCCCCAAGTCCTTGTGATCAGGGGTCCCTGCATGGGTTGTCCTGTAACCATGACATGTGTCCACATCTCTGGTCTGTTGTCATCATTAGAAGATAATTGTATTTCCTCTGGACTTCCTCAAGTGATCATTTCTGATGTTTCCATGTGCAGCTCCTCATCCCCTTCCCCACCACTGCAGCCTCTCCCTCAGACCTGAAGTGCCCTGAACTGTCCAGGGCTTGGTCCCTCTGCAAGGACTTCAGCTGGGAAGTGAAGAACAAGCCAAGGGACAGAGGGGACAGAGAGTGGGAGTGTGCAGGGAGCAAGGATAGGTTTTCTGCCAGCAGTGGTGAGAAGTGCTCTCCCTTTTGCACTGTCACTGTAGCCTTTCCCTCCACAGCCCATGGCACAGCTGGGACATCACCCAGTTGAACACAATCTTTACTTCCCACATCTGCCAAGCAGTCTCAAGAGGTCTATCAAAAAGAGTGCTGAAGGTGTGATGTCCTCTCTGTCCAGGAGGATCTGCCCATACCTTGCTACTGGATCTAATTCACTGAAGATTTTGCCTCATTACAGCAAAATTTTAATTTCTCTTGGGCAAGTGAGAGTGCTCTTTCTTCTTGGTCTGGTTAGCTGCTTCAAGTTAAGACAAACCCCAAATCTTCCCTGAAATTACTAAGAAGGGACCTGGCTGCTGCCTCTCCCCTTCCCTATGATCTGCTGCTACAATTTGCTGCTCTCCTCCTTTCCAAGAAGAAATTTAGTGGAGACACCTGGGCAGCAGACCAGGTGTGCTGTGGGGTGTGTGCTGCACATATCATGGAGGAGCACATCCTTCCAAGTGGGAAAGGCCAGCTTCCACAGCCAGCTCCCACTGTCCCTTCTCATCTTCCCAGCCTGACAGCTTGGTGACAAGTCTGAAACAGAGTCTGAGCTCATACTGCAATATCTGCAGGAAAATCCTCACTATTCCTCTCACTGGCCTAAGAAACCTTAAAGGCAACCTCCAACTCTTCTTTACTCTCCCTCCCAGCAGTATATTCTTTTTAGTGCACAGCCAGCACAAAAAAAAAAAAAAAAGCCAAAAAAAAAAACCCACACAAAACAAACAAACAAAAAAAAAACCCCAAACCCCCCCACCCCCCAAAAAAAAAACCCAAAAAAACCCACAAAAAAGGGATTATACTTATTTTTACTATTTCTACTGCTCCTCTTTCCAAAAGCTTTTTGAGACAAAACAGGCAATTGGGAATCAGATCCTCAAGGAGGTGAACTTACCTTGACTGTGGAAAGATGGCTTTGGGCCACATCAGACCGTTTCTGCTTGGTGAAGAGAGAGCCAGTCACATTGCCCTAACTGATTCATGTATGATTTGTAGCATTATGTTCTGGTCTGAGTTTCTCATGTTACCCCAATACAAAGCAGGACTCAATTTCTTCTTGTAGCCCTAAAAGGCTGTCACGAGGCAGTGGGGCTCTTCTGCAGCTGAAGAGCATGTACAGAAAAGTTCATATAGCAAATAAGTGTTATTTTTTTTTACTTAATACAGGCTAAAGAGCAGCTGTAAAGACAACCTTTCATTACTGTCTGAAATATTGGTCCTTTCTGTTTTGAACTGAAGCATCAGATAGTATTTAGTTTCCTAAAATATATTTTTTTTTTGTGGCAGGGAAAGATATTAATAACCTTGGGTCTATTGGGTCAATCAATTTTATTATGACTAATACAAGATCCTGTTTCTTGCATGTAAACTCAAAACCCAGGATGAAATTTAGAACCCAGTCTAGGTGCTCAGTGCTTCCCAGAACCTGTCCCATGTGCTCAGTCCTCTTCCCAGTGACTGTAACCCTCAGCTCCTGCCTTGTTTGCAGGTTTTTCCTGGTCATTGCATTGGCAATTTTCCCTGACAATGTGATAATCCTTGTGTTTGCTGCTGGGTTCCCTGGGGAGGTTCCCCACAGTGCTGTCAGTCCTGAATGGAGGGCTCTGATGCCTTCTCCCTTTGCTGCACAAAGGTGCTCCTTCCATTGACCTGAGATGGCTCAGGGAGGGTCTGTAAATTGAAGCCTAGAAATAAATAACATGTTCTATGATAAAAATATCCCAGGAGATCCCATGCATTAGGGAATATCAATTCTTTGACTCCCTTTGGGACAGCAAAAATGTTCAAAGCATTGTGAGGAGTGAGCATCACCTCCCATTGCCTAAAGGAATGGGAGGTTTGTGGCTGAAATATTGAATGAGCAGCCTGAAGGTCTGGGTCTATTTTAGACCAAATATGGCCTTTGAGAGGGCTGGGATTTTTCAAGAGTGCTCCAGTTCTGTGCATGAAACCTCCTCTGATCATAACTAAGGAACCACCCTGTGTGCTTCTGATTGGCACCTGTAAAATGGATCAGACCCTTCTGAGCTGCTTCACAGGTCTGTGCTGCTCAGCCATGATATCAAGCAGCGCCTCTGAAAAGCCCAGGTGGGAACAAGACCTTCAGTAGTGCCTGATGTGGGAGCTGGCAGGAGCTCTCTTGGGTCTGAGTTCCAGTGCTTTGGAGATGCTGTAGCCAAGGGCAGCTGCTTCCCAGCACGGGGCCCTGACACACGGTTCAACAGTGCTAGGGCCAAGAAATAGGGGTTCCTCCCGCTCAAAGGGGACCCTCAGGCTCGCAGGTTCTGGGGGTGGCTTTTCCACTGTAGGATCGGGAATATCTGGGATGCCTCCTGGGGTCTCCTGTATCTCCTGGGAGCTCTCTGGTTTCAGGGACTGGACACCCTCTCAAGGAAACTCAGGGCTCCCCAGGCTGAGGTTGTCCCAGTTTCCAGTTACCCTGCCAGTGCCAGATCTTTGAGAGATTCACACTCCCAGGATACCTGAAACAGATCCCTGGACTTACCCGCTGGCCTGTGCGAGGTGAGGCTGGGCTCAGTTCTACAGGAAAATTGTGATTTTTCCAGTTGCTCGCTGCTGTTCTCCCCTAACAAAAGGACTGGGCCTGCTTGCTGCAGAACATTTGTGTGCTGTGTTCACTTGCTGCATTGTCCTGCCCCGGAGCTGCGGGCGGTTCAGCGGAGAGCGAGTTCTCCCAGCGCCAGCTGCAGCCCTCAGCCCATGCACCACCGCTCCCTGCCAGATTGCACTGAGAGCACAAAGGAGAAGAAAGAAACTGGCTCCTTGGCTGGTGTTTGTGCAGTTTACAAAGCCTCTTTTGCAGGTTTCTGGTCCCACTTGGCCCAGGGAGAGCAGAGCAGAGGGCGAGCAGGATCTCTCCTTGAGAGGGGCTGCCAGGGAATGGGGACACGGGCACCTCAGCACCCTCACCAAGCAGTTCCTGTGCTGGAATCTGGCTGTCCAGCCAGGGATGCACCTTTGCTGTCCCACTGGAAAGTCCTGTGTGCCACCAGGGGCGGGGGGATGTGCAATGCTCCGTGCCTGTCATGGATGTAAAAGCTGAGGGAGACTCCAAGTCTTACAGTGGGGAGCCCAGGCTGTACCCCTGAACCCCACAGCCCCCCTTGGGCATGGCCACAGCCACCCCTGCAGATGCCAGCCTGCCTGGCAGCTCTCCAGAGGGACACAGTGCACACACCTGAGGCTGCTGATGCACCAGTGTCTTTATTCCTCAGTCCTGGTTTTGGTCACTGGTGATGCAAAAGATGGTTTTCCAACATATTTTTGGGGTGCTGCTGTTGAACAGTGTTTTGCTTTGGGCTGCCATGGATCATGGCTCATCTTCTGCCTGGCCCTTGTCTAGGGGTGAGGCTGTGAGCTCCTGGACATGGGGACAGCCCCGTGAGGGGCAGTGCTGTCACATCCCCCCCATCCAGGGCATTGTGCTTGTATAAATGATCAGGAGCACGTAGATCTGCTTTGAATTTTGACCTTGTTTGCTGTGAGGAGGGGACTGCTGGACTTTGTAGCGTAAATATCTCCTCACAAGTGAAAGTTGTTGGTCCCTGAGGGAAGAACAAAGGAAAATCCTTCTGATTTGAGGGGGAAAGGCCAGAGTTATTTATTTTACAGCTCTGAGGAGGTAAACAGGGCGGCAGAGTCCAGGACAATTAAAATATTGACGGAGCAAGGATGACATCTCAAAGATGGGTCTTTTTTAATTTTAAAGCCTGCAGACAGGGAAACAAGCTGACATTATGTGATATTTTAGAAATACAGCTGAGGAGAGGCCTCCCACACGGTGGCTCCAGCACAGACCAAGGCAGGGCTGCCCAGTTTGGTCTCATGGCTGCTGAGGATGGTTGGCTTCCCTGCCAGAGGCTGGTGCTGTGCCCCCCAGCAAGCTGCTCAAGTAGAAATGCACAGCCTGCTTCTGTCTTCTGAGGCTGCCCTGACACACAGGATCTCTGCACCCGCTCATCACTGGGTACCAGGGTGTTGGAATCTGTGGTATTGATGATCCTGAGATTGTAGAAAGTCTCTGTCTTTCTGCCCCGCTGCCAAAGCAGAAGCCATAATTGGTCTGTGCTGGTTTCAAGGTTGTTTATTCTGTTTATCTCTAACATGTTCTGCTGCCCTGCCGCAGCTCTGTCCTGCAGGGCAGCATGTGGGGCTCTGCCCTCAGTGGGATGTTACAAACATTAAATATCAGAAACTACCTGTGCTGGATTTACAATAACGTGCCAATATCTGTCACCTACGTTGAACAGTGTGTCCCCAGCCTGAACCAACAGAAAAATGCCAACACCACAGTGAAACATGGAGGGCATGAAGAAGGAGAAAAAGGACAAGACACACCCAATTTCCTCCATCTTGTCCCCTTTGGACCCCTAATCTAGAAACCTAAAATTTTACTTTTGCACCTGTGCCACACTTAATTATTACTTATATCAAAGACTCAGAGCTTGTAATTCATCATATAAGATTGAAAACTCTTTTCCATGGACAGAGATCACAGCCAGTGTCTCTGGGGGCTCTGTCCAGGGGGGTTCCTGACCCCTGCCAGGGTCCCAGACCTGCCAGGGCAGCCAGAGGGAAGCCCTGGATTCCCACACCAGGGGAAAACACAGGGTCTGAAGGGAGGGGGAATAACCCCCACAGACTGCATGCTGAACCCCCTCCTCTGCCCTGCCTTGGGTTAAATACTGTTGTTGTTGATGCACTCTGGAATCACCAGGGGATGTGCTGCGGGCTTTAGCATCAGGCTGTGCTCCTAGAGGGGCAGCGAGGTGGGGACAGCATTAATGCAGACTTCGGGGCTCCACGTCCATCCTGCTGCCGAGGAGCGCGGCGCACGGAGCCTGCCAGGCTGCTGTCTGCGGGGACAGGAGCAGGAGGGGCAGCGGGGACGATGATTCCTGCTGCTGGCAGCGCTCTGGGTGCTGGGAGGTGCCCCAGGGGGAGGCTCCGAGCGCTCCGCTGCCTCCCGCGGGTGGGAGCGCTGCGCTGCCCCGGAGGAAGCCCACCCCGGGGAGGGATGCTGCGGAGGGGGGAAAGCTCCGGCACAGCGCTGACAGGGCGAAGCTGCTGGCAGGCAGCTGTCTCCAGGGTGGCTGCAGCACTGCAGCATCAATTAACCTTTGGGAACTTCTGCCAGTGCCGCTCAGGCGTAGCCGCGGCTCCGCCGTGCCGAGCGATGGGGCGCGAAGCTGCCGCGCTGGAAAGCCGCAGCCAGACGACAAAAGGCCGACCGGGAGCCGCCACCTGAGCCGGAGCGCCTCTGTCTCCTCTCCAGCCCGCACTAAGTGCTTTTATCTCCTCTCCTCGTGTTTACCAGGGCGGCTTTCTCCTTCGCGCGGTGGCAGTGCCGCGGAATGCTGATGGAGAGCGAGTGGCGGCTGCCCTCCGCAGTCCTTGGCTGGCAATTTCCTCGGGGCCAGGCCCCCGACCCCGCTGGCTCTGCAGGGACAGTGTGACCCCCCTCCTGCAGCTCTGCCCTGGCACCCGCCCAGCTCCAAAACAGCCATTGCCCGGCCAGCCAGGGGAGCCGGTGTGACCCGAGCTGGCTCTGCAGCACAGATGTCCCCACAGCTGGAGAGGGGGCTCTGGGCACAGGGTGTTGGCCCCCAGGCAGCGGTGAGCTCATGGATCCTGCAGCTCCCTCCTGGTCACGGCTCCTGCAGCTCCAGCCCATGAGCACA